TGTGTGGTATGTGTGTGTGGGGTGTGTGTGTGTGGGGTGTGTGTAGTGTGGTGTGGTGTGTGTGTGTATGTGTGTGGTGTGTGTGTGTGGTATGTGTGTGTGTGGTATGTGTGTGTATGGGGTGGGTGTGTGTGGTGTGGTGTGTGTGGTGTGGTGTGTGTGTGTGGTATGTGTGTGTGTGGTATGTGTGTGTGTGGTATGTGTGTGTGGGGTGTGTGTAGTGTGGTATGTGCATGAGGTGAGTGGTATGTGTGTGTGGGGTGTGGTATGTGTGGTGTGGTATGTGTGTGGTGTGTGGATTCACAGCCCTTCTGGGAAAGTAGAGTCCAGCTGCACCTGCGGCTGTCTGCACCTTTCCTGGTTCACAAAATACCTTCCCTGTGACCTCACTCCACTAGTCATCCTCTCACACCCAGGCAGCCCCTTCCCTCCCCTCCTGCCACCTCAGAAGGTTAAGGCAGATCATCTGCTGACAAACCATCAGCGGGAACAGAAGATGGAGGGGATCAAAGAAAACCTCCTGCTCCTGTCTTGCCAGAACTTTTCCCACAGGGAAGGCTCCAGGCAGAGGCCAACCGTGTCTCACCTGGAGGAAGGTCACTACCCCAAAGGGTGTCTGCACGGGTTGCATTTGCGGGTCCTCTGTGAGCAGCATGTGCTGAATTCTCGACTCGCTGTTATCCAAAGGGCTGTGCCAAGACACGTGGTCCCCACTGCAGAAAGTGTTCTCTGCGGGAGAGACGTGACAGTCCTCAGTGTTTCAGGCCCTGCACCCAGGCATGGAGCCCGCCTGGAACCTCAGAAGCCCAGGCTGGGAGGCTCCAGCCTCCTGGGGTAGCCCCTGGAAGGAGGCGATACATTCACTCTGGTGGAAGCAAAGCTTGTGGATATTTTCAAAGAACCAAGCAGACCCTGCTTGCCATTCTGTCAGCCTTCGGTGGGAAAGAACAGGCCGCTGGTGTGGATGCGCACAGGCTTGGAAGTCCAAAGGGTCCGGGCATCTGCTTCACTTCCCCAGCACCCTCACTAGTTGCAGAGACAGCACCCATGATCGTGTCTGCTGAGAAGGAATGAAGTGCTCTCCCGTGCAGCCATCTGGCTGGAAGTCCACAGCGAGGCCAGAGCGCAAGGAAAGCCCTTCCCCTTGGAAAGACAGACCGGGATCTCTGGCTACTGAAGCCACTCAGAAGGGAGCACCCTTGGGGTCGGCGCTGTGGCACAGCAGGTAAAGCTACCACCTGCAGTGCTGGCATCCTATATGGGCACCGGTTGGAGTTCTGGCTGCTTCACTATCAATCTAGCTCTCTGCTATGGCCTGGGAAAGCAGTAGAAGATGACCCAAATCCTCGGGCCGCTGTGCCCGCATGGGAGACCCAGAGGAAGTTCCTAGCTCCTGACTTTGGATTGGCACAGCTCTGGCCACTGTGGCCATCTAGGATGGAAGATTCTCTCTGCACCTCTCCTTCTCTCTCTGTGTAACTCTGACTTTCAAGTAAATTAATAAATTTTTAAAAAGAGAGGGGAGCACCCAAGCTGGAGGGCCTGTGAGATCTGCCACCCACTTCCCGCAAGTGGACAGAAGGATTTCCCAGGGGCACTCAAGGCTCTGGGAAATGGAGGACTGGGTAGTTCCTCACTTCCCCGGGCAGAGGTGGACAGACTGGAAGGGTGGCTATTTCTCTGATGACTCAGCTACCTCACAGCCTCACCACTGCACTTGACACAGGCTCATCATTTTGTTAAGGCAGTATAACCATCATGGGGGAAAATCCAGGTGTGCAATGTCCTACTGACCTGGACTCTTATCTGGGGTACACAGGTACTCTGCCTCTACCAGCCCATATGTATCTATAAGCTCTCTTCCATGTGTTTTAACACCATTTTGCACATTTCACTTACCTAGATCTCTTGTCAGCAAATAGAGAGCAATCTCATTCTTAAAGCATCTGTGTAATTTATCATTTGGGACTCTAAAGAGTTCAAGTACAGGGCTGGCGCTGTGGCACAGTAGGTTCCTGTGGCGCCTGCATCCCATAAGGGCGCTGGTTCAAGTCCTAGTTGCTCCACTTCCAATCCAACTCTCTGCTATGCCCTGGGAAAGCAGTAGAAAATGATCCAAGCACTTGGGCCCCTGAACCTATGTGGGAGACCGGAATAAGCTCCTGGCTCCTGGCTTCAGATAGGCTCAGCTCCAGCCACTGCGGCCATTTGGGGAGTGAACTAGCAGATGGAAGACCTTTCTCTCTGTCTCTCCCTCTCACTATATGTAACTCTACCTCTCAAATAAATAAATAAAATCTTTTTAAAAAGTGAGAGAGAGAGAGAGAGAGAGAGAGAGAGAGAGAGAGAGAGAATTTAAGTACCTTGACTTTTTATCCATATTTGAGGCAAGGCAGAGCATGTACCCACACAAACCCCAACTTGAAGGCTCCCAGGGTGGCCCGAGACCCCCACTCTTTCTTGTCTTGGTCTGAGTGCTATTCCCTCCTGTGCTGGGGGATGCTCTACAAGCATCTTTTCCACCAGACAGACAGGCTCAGGTTACCAGCCCTAACCTCTGTAGCATCCATTCAGGAGGGAGAAGGAAGAATGCTTCCTTTAAGGAACACTGGGCAATAGAGAGAGAAGAAAAGGCATGGCTCCAGATAAGGCCAACAAGACCACCACCCCCAAATTTTCCAACTCCTGTTGGACTCACTCCTCCTAGATCCCTTGTTCTTTGACAGAAATATGCATCTACAACCCACTTACATGCTACACAAGTAAGCATCAATGCAATGAGTAAAAGATTGAATAATTAAAAACTATCCCCCTACACACACACACACACACACACACACACACACACGACTCAGGCCCAGATGACTTCACTGGTAAATTTCACCAAAGAATTAAAGAAGAGTTATGAATTCTTCACAAACTCTTCCAAAAAACAACAAGATTCACTCATTATTAGGCACCAGCACTGTAGCATAGCGGCTAAGGCCAACACCTGTGGTATCGATATCCCATATATGCACCAGTTCAAGCCTGCTAATGTGCCTGGAAAACCAGCGAAGGATGGCCTAAGTGCTGGGGCTCCTGCACCCAAGTGGGAGACCCAGAAGAAGCTCCTGGCTCCTTGCTTCAGATTGATCCAGCTCCCACTGTTGTGGCCATTTGGGGAGTGAACCAGCAGAGAGAAAATCTCTCCCTGCCTCTTTCTCTTGCTCTCTGTAACTCTTTCAAATAAATAAATAAATCACTTTAAAAAAATTAGCCTGATATCAAAATCAAAGACATCACCAGGAGAAAACCACGACAAAATGAAGCCACAGACCAATATCCTTTGTGCACACAGAAACAAAAACTCTCAACTAAACACCAGCAAACTGAATTCAGCAACATATAAAAAGGGTTCTGCACAACCAACTGGAATTTATCCCAGAAATGCAAGCTTGTAGAATATCATGTAATATATTAATAGAATTATGGTTACAAACACATGGACTATCACCAACAGATACAGAACAAGCATTTTATCTTTTTCATGATAAAAACCTTCAAACTAGGAGTCCATGGAACTTCCTCACCAGAAAACAGACATCTACAGAAGACTCACGACTAATATGGTATTTGATGATCAACAAGTGAGTTGTGCCTAAGATCAGGAACAGACAGAGATGCCCACTGGACACTTCTACTCAGCATTCCTGTAGAGGTTCTTGTCGCTCCCCCTCTTCATGGAGGAACGACACTAAGCCCTGCCTAGGCTTCATATCCGAGTCACGGCACCATTATGTCGCTCCCCCTCTTCGTGGAGGAACGACACAGGACCCTGCGCTGTTCTTTCGTCTGCTCGGCCCTTCCCGGGTTTGCTGCTGGTTCTTCCCGGGTTGGCTACTGTCCCTTCCACCTCCGTGGAAGGGCGGTTCCCCCTGCCACATTCCCCACTTCCGCAGGGGAGCGGCACACCGCCGGCCGGCTCTCTCGGGGGCTGCACAGGTGTTCCCCTTAGATGTTCCTGGTGCATGCCGTCTCTCTCCTCCTTTATAGTCCTCCTCCGCCAATCCTAACTCGGCTGCCCACACGCCGAGTACGCTGCTCTCCAATCAGGAGCAAGTCCTACAGTTTATTGGCTGAACTGGAGGCAGCTGCGTAGAAGCTGTTTTCTCCTCTCCCAGCGCCATATTGTGGGAGAGCAGATGCATAGAATAAGTCTTAATTCCAGTAACTCAGTCCAGTCCGGGTTGCTCCCCACAGTTCTAGCCAGGACAATCAGGCAAGAAAAAGAAATAAAACATGTTCAGGTTAGAAGGAAAGAAGCAAAACTGCCTTTATTCACAGATGACAGATCCTGAATACAGAATACCTTAAGGAATTCACTAAAATACTTTTGAGTGTGAGCACTGTGGGGTGGGAGGCCAAGTCACCACTAGGGACACCACATCCCATGGAGGAGTGCCTAGGGTGAGTCCCACTCTGTTTTTAATCCAGCCTATTAATGTGCACCCGAGAGGAGGCAGTTAATGGCTCAAGTAGTTGGATCCCTGATACCCAAGTTGGTGGAATTCCTGGCTCGTGGCTTTAGCCTGGCCCAGCCCCAGCTTTTGTAGGCATTTGGGAAGTGAATCAGTAGATGGAAGACCTTTCTCTTTCTCTGCCTTTCAAATAAAGTAAATAAACTTGAAAAAATAAACTATTAGAATGAATAAACAAGTTCAGCAAGGTTACAGAATACAAAATAATTCAAAAATTAGGAAAATAATTCCTAAGAATATAATACTTAGGAACAGATTTTTTAAAATAGTGAAAACTTTTACTGTAAAAAGTACTAAATATAATTGAAAGAAATTAGAGAACACCTACATAAATGCAGATACTCACTATTCACGGATCATACATAAGACATTATATTGTTAAAATCGTAGTATTTTCCAAATTGGTCAATAGATATTCAAGCAGTCCTCATAAAAATGCCACATGCCGGCTGGCGCTGCGGCTCAACAGGCTAATCCTCTGCCTTGCAGCGCCGGCACACCGGGTTCTAGTCCCAGTTGGGGTGCTGGATTCTGTCCTGGTTGCCCCTCTTCCAGGCCAGCCCTCTGCTGTTGCCCGGGAGTGCAGTGAAGGATGGCCCAAGTGCCTGGGCCCTGCACCCCATGGGAGACCAGGAGAAGCACCTGGCTCCTGGCTTTGGATCAGCGTGGTGCACCGGCTGCAGCGCGCCAGCCGCAGCGGCCATTGGAGGGTGAACCAACGGCAAAGGAAGACCTTTCTCTCTGTCTCTCTCCCTCTCTCTCTGTAACTGCCTTGCAAGTAGATAAACAAATCCCAAAAAAAAAAAAAAAAAAAAAGGAAAGGAAGAAAAAGAAGGAAAAAAGAATCCAGTTGGATCTTTTCCTTACATTATTAAAAGAAGAGCTCAAAATTGATCACAGATCTAACATTAATAGCTAAAACCATAAAACTCTTAAAAGTTCTGGAGACAGATGGTGGTGCTGACTGCAGAGCAATGTGAATGGACTGAGCGCCAAACCGTACTCTCAGCTGTGACCAAAAAGGTGGCAATGGTAAAGCTCATGTTATGTGAAACTGTCTTAGCAACTCTCCTAACGCTAAACATGGAACCACCATGTGAGCCAGCAGTTCCACTCGTAGGTTACACCCAAGAGAAACGAAAACCTGCACATGACTGTACACATATGTTCACAGCAGCATTACTCACAATAGTCCAAAATAGAAAAACT